GCTTCTTCGGACACGACAAATTGGTGTCGCGGCCTACCATGTCGCTGTATACTGCTACCACTGCTCGGTTCTGGACCGTTTCCACAAACACTACAAATACAAAATGTTAAGAAGGTTAGAAAATCATATTCTTCGGACTGTTTCTATCCTACCAGTTCGCAATCCATCTAGGATGTCCAAAACTGAAGATAAGTTAAATCTTCGTGATTGCGCTTGGGATCAGAGGATCGCCGGATCTTCGGTGCTCTCTGTCTTCAAGAGAAGCCCACCGTAAAGAATGCTTTGACAATGCTGGATAAGCATTGGTGCGTTTGCGTGAGCACATACACGTCCCGTTAAAAGTCTTTGCAGTTAACTCAGGCATTTGGTGAAATCTGGCATGTTCCATCTCTCTCATCATATGTTCTGTTCGAAAATGTGACTGTGCCAATGTCCCAAAGAGGAGATTTGAAGAAAATATGCGGATAAAACAATTGATCTCTGGACTGTCAGAGAGGATGCAGATAAGCCCTCTTGGGGAAGAGCTTGCGAAATGGCTCGTAGGAGGGTTGCCGTCACCGAACAGAATACATTGTTGCTACGCAAGGCGGCAGCCACGGAAATTGACCTACGGGATCCATCCGTTCCCGTGAAGCGATGTTCAGATGGAAACAAAGGTGACCTTTGTGGAAACACAGCGTAAAAATTAGAACTTCTCCCACCAAAAATATGATTTGTCGGAAGTTTAGTAAGTCAGGTCATTTTGCCTTAATTTATCGCTCCCGTACTTTTTCTCGCGTTGATCCTTCGACAACTGACCCTTCGGCTTCTCCAGCTATTGGCGGTATTTCTATATATAGTATTAACAAAACTGGACACATGATACCTTTGCCTGCTCATAAACCAAAGCTACCCTTATCCGACGTTTGATGCATGTATTCGAAGTTTGAAGCAAAACCATTCTTATAGATATGGAGCTTGATTTGACATTGTCAAGTAAGGTGGCGGCATACCTTTTTTATAAGCAGCGTTTTTCTCATTTGTTTGTGCACCCTTCCGCTTGCCAATTTACCACCGATTCCAATGATGCTTTTCGGATACCTGTTTTTGTTACGGTTTCAATGTACCTACAAAACAGTAGAAAATGTGCAATTGAGGTATAGATTTTTAAGACTGACAATAAGCCTCTTTTAGGGCGTAACACTATGGTGTTATTGAGCGTACTCTCATCCGTCAGCTGAATGATAATTTTCGGTTTTAACCGCGAAACACTGCAGTCCATCTATCCGAGTCTTTCGTGGAGATAATTGCAGGATTCCAAATGCAGTGCACTACATTCGATTGAGCGCGAATTACTTGCCTTTCACTATTTCGCAACCTAGACCTGTACCTCTGGCAAGAAAAGGATACTGTGTCGAGAGTCCTGGAAAACATGATAAGCGAAGTTTTGACAGACCCGATACAGCGTTCCGAATGGATTCATCCACTTTTACAGTTCAAAAGAAGAATGGATCTATAAGCGCGTGTAGCAACTTTCGAATGGTTAATATGCATGTAATTGTGGATAAATTCCAACTGCCTTCTATCGAGGAGTTGATGGGCAGGCTTTCAATCCATAAGCTCTTCTCAGTGCATGATATTCGAAGTGCGAATTTTCATTCGCAGCTGACTCCAGACTGCTGATACTTGAGAGCTGTTCCAACGCAATTTAGCTTATATCAGTTTATGGTGTTGCTCGCCCAATCCCTAACGTTACCCTGGTCAAAAGCCAGCACGACTAACGATAACAGTCACGCCTCTTCGCTCGATGTCACATCAAAAAAATTTATTACTGTATCCCAATCTGACCTTAAACGATGAGTTGTGTACATGGAAGACATTTGTGCCTTTGGTAGTAGTCCCGTTGAAAATGAAATCATCTTAACAACCAGTTGCAAAGGCTGAGCGCTCTAAACCTTCGCGTGAATACCAGGAAGTGCCAGTTCGCCGTCACAGAAAAAAAGTTTGTCGGGCCTATCATTTCCACTTCTCGTATGAAACCCAATGAGCATAACACTAGGACCTTACTTAACTGTCCAAAACCGTCCAATGACCCGTAGGTGAAATATTTCTTGGGTCTGAGTTCCTATTGACTCCGACAGTTACCGAACTTTGTGTCTATTGATGAGTAGCTGCGGAGGCTGACGCGCCAAAATGAAGAGTTCTGGTGGGACGCTAAACAAAAAATTCTTACCTGATCATACGGGCCATGGTAGTGTCTACCAATACTATTGCGATCTCTAATGACCCATGTCCAACCTTGGTTTTAACGGATACTTTGGACATTAGATAAGGCGCAGTTCTGTTCTAGTTGCACGGCGGTGAGGCGAAAGTAATTGCATACGCCTCATGCACTCTGTCAGCCACTGAGAAATTATTCCACTGGCGATGAGGAGGCACTTGCTTGGATCTGGGCATGTTCTAAATGGCATTTCTACTTATTCGGGCGTCGATTTACCTTGCGCAGATGATACTGCAGTTTCAACCCTACTTAACCATGGTGACAAGGGTCAAAAACCTGTTAGGCTAAGCCGGTGGTATTTGCGTCTACAAAACTACAATCACGAAATCAAATACCTTCCAGACTGTTCTAACCAAGCTGCGGAGGCTTTCGCTGTCCAACATAGAGGAGATTAAGGAGTTGGACGAGGTGAAGATGATATCCCATCTCTCAAATAGTGCCCTTGGAGATAACGCTTTACCTGACAAGAGGGAACACCGACAAAGATCCGGTGCTGTTAAAAAGGTCTTCAATACTTAGCTACTTCATGGCCAAACCGCGCGAAACTTCAGCCTAAATTACTCCTATTTCACACACTTCGGCACGAATTATCTTCTGCAAGCAATTATATTCTGAAGTAAGCAGTTTATTATACCCGAAACACTTATTCTGGCAGTACATGAATGCGCACATGAAAAGCATTAGGGCATTGTGCGAACAAAATGCCGGATACACCGATACTATTAATGGCCGAAGCCGAGTGCCAGCGTCACGCCAAGTATTCGGGAATGCTACGCCTGTAGTTGGACGCTCCAATCCAGCCTATTGAGTACCCAATGAAATTATGGGGGAAAATTGATAAAGATATCATGGATTCACTCACCAGTGCTCTTGCAGCGAAACGAAACGTGTTGGTTGCTTCTTGCTTCTACAGCAAATGGCCGGCGGCTGTTTTTGATGATGTCACTACAGCTGCCACTAGTAAATGGCCCAGCGGCTTGCTCGCAAGGTTTCGGTTGCCAGGAGAAATAGTCCCTGATAATAGGCCTCAGTTCCGTAGTAGCTACCACGTCGAGTTCGTAAGACGCAGTGGTATCAGACGCTAAGACGCGATGCCGTAAAATCCTGCTTTTAGTTCAGTGGTCACCAAACTACTGCCCGCGAGTCGGATCCGGCCAGCGACGTGAGTTTTTCCGGCTCGCCGACCGTACCAGATTTTGCTCGATAAGACTCATGGAACGCGAGACGCCGTAGTACAATTTAGATTTGACACTGATTGTCATGTTGTCCGTGACCTTGTGCACTTGACACCCTAGCGTGAGCCATCTCATGGTTGTTAACTGTGACGTCGTACTACTTCTTATCACTCGTCATCGCTGGCACATTGAGGTGAATGATCACATATGAAGCTACTTCATCCGCGCACCCTTTCGTGTTTCTGCTTACCCCACATGTTTGTTCCGCGACTTTCTGTTGATCATCCCCATTAAAGTATGTGTCATATGAAACGCCCCTTAATAGGACACCAATAGCGTACGCATATGTCACAGTAAAGCCATATTTGCTAGTAATTTGGAACAAATTGCAGGTTGTTGCAAGGGATTGCGCTTGAAGGGCATATAGTTAAGTTTCATACATTTTGGTCTCGCTAAATACCTGTAAGTGGCACTGGTACTCAGTCCGGGCATTGTTTGTTGATTTGGTTCTGGTAAAAGCTATTTGCTCAAGCTTTCCAAGCGGGTGGCGGCTTATATATATATATATATATATATATATATATATATATATATATATATATATATATATATATATATATATATATATATATATATATGCTTGGGGGCATCCGGTTTCGGATTTGCCTGTCACTGTGGCAAGCCACAGGACGCCTGCGCCTACAGAGGGACCATGGATGGCTTGCTCTGCACCACCCACAGCTCCAACCACACACCCCATATCCAGTGTAAACCCAAAGGAATATGACCGGGAGGTATGCAGATGGGAACCACGTTTCATCAACGGAGCCGGCCCACACTCCTTCACAGGCAAACACAAGCACGCTGTATTTGCGGAATCAACCGCACACAAGACGGTGGCTGGACCGTAGTCCGCTCCACACTGAGTGCATGGAACCACTCTTTGATCCTAACACGGCCACAAGAACCGTGCACCTCGTCCCCTCCAGCAACGACTAACTGTCTCCTAGAGCCAGTATGAACGAGGTAGTGGTAATAGACAGGTAGGCACCTTGTCAACATACACATCAAGCGCAGCCTCAACGGGGATATCAAACAACAGCCAATCACTTGAGAGAAAGATAACAAAGAAAACAAATCGAGCAATGCATAAAATAGGGGACATATATCTTAAAGTAATGAGCATCTGAAGTAAATTGTTTAAAGAAGAATGCGAGATAAGTTCACGAAGTCAGAAAGAATACTTCACGGAAATGCCACAAACACAAAAATGTTTTCG